CCAGAGCAGCCCGCCCGTGTGCGTGGGGCAGGAGGGAGGGAGGGGAGAAGGGGGAGCAAAGTGGCACCCTCAGGGAACGGGATCCTGGCCCTGTCCCCTCACCGAGCCAGGTGGGGCCTGGCTGCCCTGTTGTGCTGTGCCAATGCCATTCCCTGTGCCAGGACAGGGGGTTTGCCACATGCCACCCCACTCTGCCTGCCCCCGGCATCCCTGTGGGCACTGGGAGTCACCTCCTGGCTGTGTGCCCAGCTCCTGCTGCCCTCCAGCCCGGAGTGCCATCCCCCAGTGGGAAACATGTGGCAAGACAGGACATTGGGCACGGTGCTGCCACCACTGCCACCTCCCAGCCAGGGAGCTCCCGCTGTCCTGCCCCAAATCCCCCCGGTGTGTCCAGTCCAACAGCACCTTCCCCTGTATGGCCTGCTGGGTGCCAGAGCGTGCCTGGCCCTGGTTTGGGTTGCCAGGGTCCTTCTGCCTGCTGTGTCCCCTTTGCCACCATGGTCCCCCTGGTCCTTTCCCATCTTTGTGCCAGGAGCAGCCGGAGGCACCGGACACGGAGCACCAACACTCACCATGCTGCTGTCATTGAGTGTCACCAAGTGTCACTGCATGGCAGCAGGTGCCAGGTGAAGCCAAAACCCCAGGGCCGGGGGAGCCCCTGCCCTCCCTTTTCCTCGACTCCCCAGGGCAGGGAGTGGGTGCCCATTCCCCTGGAAGCCCGGGAGATGTGGGGGGCACACTGGGGCAGGCAGGGCTGGGCTGTGCCCCACTGGTGGCTCCAGTGCTCTGTGCGGGAGCATCTCCGGGCCTGGCCTGGGAATGGGTGAAGAGAGATGGGAACCACGAGGCTGCAGGGCTGGGACCCTCCCCCAGAGCCCCCAGAGCCTGGAAGGGAATGAACCCCTGGCAGAGCTGATGCTGACACCCCTGACACAGATGTTGGGACAAGCCAAATCCAGCAGGTGAGGCTGGCACAGGAGCGGCTGCGCTGGCACATCCTGTGGCACCTCCACCCCAGGTGACACTGCTGTCACTGTCCCGTGCCACCAGGCCACCCATGGCCCAGCTTCCAACCGTGCATGTCCCGGGAATGCAGGACCAGGAGGGAGGAGATGCTCCCCTCAGCAGCTCCAGAACCCGCAGGCCTCTCCTGTCCTGCCCCAGCTGAGGTGCCAACGTGCCCCACAAACTGCTGCCCCCAGCCCCTCGCTGGCACAAGGCACCCCCAGGGAGCCAGGCTGGCACAGAGGCAGGAGCTGCTGCCACATGGAGCAAATCCACAAAGCCGTGAAATGCAGAATGTGGTTTGTTCCCCCTTTAATTCCTCTCCCGGTGCGGGTGGGTGGCAGCTGCACGGCAGCGCCGAGCCCTGGGCCTGGCAGCACAGCACAGCAGCGATGCAAACAGGGATGGAGCTTTTGAAACCAAACCTCTTTGAAACCAAACCGGCAGGATTCGCGTGGAGCGGGGCCGCACCAAAAACCAAAGCAAAATCTCCAGGAGGAGAGGAGAGGAGAAGAGAGCCTGGCAAACGGCTCCGTGCCGGCACTGCCGCAGTTTGGATGGAAATAATGAGATTTCAGAGGCAAATAACGAGCGGCTGGGGACAAAGTCCCCGCTCGGGGAGTCCTGGTGCGGCTCATTTCCAAATCCCCCCACGGATCCCGACCGTGCGCGGAGCGGCGGAGGAAGCAGGGAGCGGGNGGGAGCGGCAGCGCGAGAGGGGCGCCCTATTTATATCCCAAACGCTCGTTATGAAACGAGCAGCTCCGGCTCCCGAGCACGGCCCGAGCAGGGGGAGGCCAAGGCACAAGGGTGTCCCCTGGCACAGGAAGGAGCCAGGGCTCGGGGTCTGGCTCTGCCCCCCAGCACGGCCCAGATCCCATTGCCCAGCCCTGAGCAGGGCTCAGCATCGAGGATGCTCAGGACACGGAGCTGGGCAGGGCCTGGCACCTCCCTGCCCCACGTCCACCCTCAGGTCAGTCCGTGGTGCCCAAATCACCTGCAGGCACAGGAACACACAGAGCAAGGCGATGGAAAATCCCTCCATCCCGAGGGTGGGCAGCACACAACCACTGAGCTATTTTGGAAAGGTGAAAATGGTGGCTGCCATGGTGGCCGGGCAGCAGGACACCCTGGCACAGCTGGGGCAGGAGCCTGGCAGCTGGTGGGTGCCCTGCCAGCCAGGGCAGAGCTGTTCCACTTGCTGCGTTTGCCCACACTGGAATTTTCCTTCGCTCCAGTAATTAAAACAAACGGCGCTAACCCCGCTGCTGGCACCAGGCTGCAGGGAGGACGTGGGCACGGCTGGCACAGGGGAAGGGGTAGGGAACAGGATCCCCCCAACAGTCTGGGCTGTGGGACAGAGGCTCTGTGGGAACTCCTGGGAAATTCCCATTCCTCCAGTGCTCAGCCCTCCCGAACCCACGATCCCCACGTACTCACTGTCCCTTGGCCCGTGCTGAGCTCCACCAGGAGCCCGGTGCCAGCTGTGGAGCATCTCAGGGTGCTCCGTGTCCCCTCAGTGTCCCTGGTCATCAGGGCCTGGGTCGGCCCTCGGAGCTTGGCCGATGCCAACGATGGCAGTGGCAGCCCTGAGAGGGCTGTGCTGTGCTCTGATGGTGCTCCGGGCTCTCAGGGGGATTAATGCCCCCAGGAGATTGGTTTTCCTGCCAGTGGGCACGCTGAGTCAGCACTGAGCAGCTCCTCTCGGGCCAGCCTGTCACCCTCCAGCCCTGTGACACGGCCCCGTGGGTCCCTCTGGCTCAGGCCACCCCAGGGAGCAAATTCCCACTGGGGATTGAGGAGCCACTTGCTGGGGCAGGAGAATGTCTGGGAGCCCTGGAGTGGCAGCAGTGCATGGCCAGGATCATTATCCTGCATCCCATCATCCCTGGATCCCACCGTGCCATGGTGCCACCATCCCTGCATCCCACCATGCCACTGTGCCACCACCCCTGGATCCCACAGTGCCACCACCCCTGCATCCCACCATGCCGCTGTGTCACCACCCCTGGATCCCACAGTGCCACCACCCCTGGCTCCCACTGTGCCACCACCCCTGGATCCCATAGTGTCACCACCACTGGATCCCACTGTGCCACCACCCCTGGATCCCTCCATGCCACCACCCCTGGCAGTGCCCCCAGCCCGGTTCACTTGCCGGATCAGTGCAGCAGCACAGGGTGGGAGCAGGCTCAGCCATGGCACCGGAGCAGCCCAAGTGCCCCTCTGACCCAAATCTGGGATTTTCCAGCCCAGCAGTGGGATGGNTGGGATGGGATTTGGGCAGGATCAAACACTCACGTCCCTCAGCCCCTCCAGCCACGGGCTGCTCGCTCCCATCCCAGCCCCATCCACCCTCCCTGGCATCACTCATTAATCCCCGTGCCCATGGGCAGCTTCCAGGGAAGCAATTTCACAGCCCACAGGACACGCTGTGCTCACCCCCCGCTGCCCTTTGGGGTGTGAGCACGGGGGCTGAGCAGCTCCGGGGAAACTGAGGCACCAGCAGGAACCACCCTGAGCTGTGCCCTGAGCCTGGAAGCCCCTGCCATGGGAGCAGCCCTGGGGCTGGCAGTAACCACGGTGCCAGCCAGGAGCCTGGCACGGAGCTGGTGCCCACAGCATCCTCGCCTGGGCTGCTCAGGATCCTGGCACCCCTCAGTGGTACCCAGAGCCTGCTCCATTGGGCATCCCCTCACCAAAAGCAGGAGCAGGGAGCAGCAGCCTTTGTCCCATTGCTGGAGACCTTTTCCCACCAGGAAGAGCCAGGGCCACTGGAGCAGCCTCTCTGGTGATTAATAGATCAGTTAATTGTGAATTCCAGGCACGCCTGGCTAATCCCTTCTCCTTCTGTATCTCTTAGCGTGGCGTATTTCACCAAAAGGATTGATTCTGCCCTTTCATTCTGGTTTTACCATCTAGGGCTGAAACAGCAGCAAAAAATAAATAGGTGGAAAATAACAGAAAATCATCCATCGTTTTCTGAAGCAACGAAATAAAAACAAGGATTGTGCTAGGGACAGGCCGGGCTCTGGCGTTGCTGCGCACACACCACGCGTGTCAGCCTGATTAGGGACAAAAAATCAAGTTCCTCCATCAAAGCCTGCCCTGATGCAGAGCCAACAATTCCCTCTGTTTCCACAGAAAATAATACTAATATTATTATAATAATATAATTATTATCGTGTAATTCTAATAATACTATAATAATAATATATGGTAATAATAATGTCTATAATAATAATAATATATAGTAATAATATATTATTATTATTATATAGGATATTATAATTGCGCATGGAATTGTGTATAGATTTATACATGGAGTTACATATATTGTATTTTTATATATAATTATGCAGTCTATATGGATTATAGAATTATTAGTATTATAATAATATATTGTAATAAAAAAANAGAGAGGACAATTGGCCAGGGAGATCCAGCTGGGCCTGCCTCAGTTTCCCCACCCGCACAACCAAAGACCTGGGAGCCATGACCAGCCCAGACTGGGCAGGGACACCACCACTGCCATGGCCCACTGGCACCTTCCCTCCCTGTACCCACAGCAACGGGGATGGGAAGTGTGGCATCATCTCAGATGCCAAATTATCCCAAATCGAGGTCAGGTGCACCTGCAGCAGCAGCTGCTGGAGCGCAGGGACACCAGGACACGAGGGACACCAGGACACGAGGGACACCAGGGGCACTGGGGCACAGTGAGTGCAGCCTGAAGTACCCCAGGACTCTCAAGAGAAACCAGGGCCCTCAGCACGTCCTGCCCTCCATTGTCAGGCTCTGCCTCCCATTCTGCCAGCAGGAGTGAGGTTCCCCTGGCACCAAAGCCATGCCCTCCCCTGGCACCAAAGCCATGCCCATCCCTGGCACCAAAGCCATGCCCTCCCCTGGCACCAAAGCCATGCCCTCTCCTGGCCTTCCTCACCACAGGGGTGCTCTGTGCATCCCCCAGAACTGCGGGGTCACACACAACCCCTCACACAGCGACCCCCGAGCCAGGGATCACCCACCCTTACCCGGCCAGCCCTGCACAGGGGACAGCTGGGGGCTGCTGGGGCTGGTGGCAGCAGACAGGCCACAGCTCCAGGGACACCTGCCCAGCCTCACACCCAGCCCTGGCAAACGGGAGCAGAAGGGACACAGGGAAAGGGAGGGATGCTGGATGCAATGGGGTGTGATGGGATGCAGTGGGGTGCAGCACGGTACCATGGGGTGCAGTGGGATGTAGCAGGGTGCAGCGGGGTACAATGGGGGGCATTGGCATGCAGTGAGGTGCTGTGGGGTGCAGTGGGATGCAGTGAGGTGCTGTGGGATGCAGCAGGGTGCAGTGGGATGCAGAAGGGTGTAGCAGGGTACAATGGGGTGCAGTGGGATTCAGTGAGGTGCAATGGGGTGCAGTGGGATGCAGCAGGGTGCAGTGGGATGCAGTGAGCTACAATGGGA